ATTATTGCTTTTTAAAGTAATATGCCTTCTTGTGCTTGTCTTGCAGGAATGGGTAAATAATAATAAATAATAATGGGCCTTCTATAAACCATTTATTTGAAATATAGAATATACTGCATTCATGACGAATAAAGTGAGGAACAGTTGCATGGGAATATCAGATAACCGAAGGAAAACTCTATTGCATGCTAAGGCATTCGGCATATTGAAAGCTTAGTTTTTGCTTAATTTCTACAAATTAATAACATTTAACATAGCAATTCCCTGCGGCCTGTCCTTGATGGGGTGGGAAGGCTTGTGTGCTCCTGTGACCCTAAAAGCTATGCCATTGGGAGTTTTCACTCCCTGGCAGGGTCACCCAAGCAGATTGGTCAAAGAGTAGGGACCAGATGAAAAGGAATCCACTGGTCCTCCAGATTGGGGATTGAGTGATAAGCCAACAATTTATCGTTGTAAAAAAAGAAAGCGGGGGGGGGGGGGGAGTTGAGTTATGGAAACACAACAAGGTAGCCATTCAGACAAACAATGTGCCAAAATAATGGACTCTGTATCGGCAGAAATGATAAGGGAAGCCTTCAGGAACCCAAAGATTCTGACAGGTTCTTTACTGAAGGTAAAACAAACTAGAAAAGTAGGTTTCTGCAACATTTGAACAATGGGTTCAACAACAACCAAAGTAACGCAAACAACCAAACAGACAGACAAATATAATCTCAAAATCTGTGGTTTAAGCAATGGTCTGGAGCTGACAAAACACTTAAAAGTTAAAATATAGCCCTTATATGTTCAGGGAGGCAAGATTGGTGCCACTCAGAGGGTACAACGTTAATTATGACTTCCAAAGCAGAAAAATTGCTTATAGACAGGGTGCCCATTAGCAGCTGATTGCTCTGAGCAAGGCTTCAAACATGATACGTGAAAATGTCAGTTACTCAGTGTTACCAACAGACAACTATGATGACAAGATCAAAGATCAGTTCTCTAATTGCCTACAAACTCCAGTTGACAACATTCCCAAGCATGACATGTGCTTGTTAATGAGGACTTCAAGGCCAGGGTTGGAGATGACAGCAACAGAGTTGTGAGAGTGATGGGCAGACATGGGTTGCCAGAATCCAAACGGTGAAAGATTGGTAAAACTGTGCCTGGTAGCAGGGATCATAATTGGTGGAACACTGTTCCTCCACAAATATATCCACAAGGTAATATGGAATTCTCCAGCTGGAGTTACCAGGAACAAGGTTGACTATCTGTGTATTGGAAGGTAATTTAGATCTACTCATTAGGATGTATGAGCATACAGAGGAGCTAGTATCTGAAGTCACTACAATTTGTGTGGCAACACTGAAGATCTAATTTTTCTATACTTTCATCTTTCTCTTGCTCTTAATATATTTATAGAACCTCTTCTTACCGTCTTTTATGTCCCTTGCTAGGTATAACTCATTTTGTGCCTTAGCTTTTTTATTTTGTTCCTAGACAATATTTTTTTGTATTCATCCATAGCAATTTGTCCATGTTTCCACTTTTTGTAGAATTCCTTTTTGATATTCACATTAATGAGCTCCTGATGGAACCATTTTGACCTCTTACTACCTTTCTATCTTTCTTTTGCATCGGGATAGCTTGCTGTTGTGTCTTTAATATTGTCTCTTAAACTGCCCTGCACTCTCCTGAACTCCTTTTTCCCTTAGATTTTCTTCCCAGGAGAGATTGCCTACTAGTTTTCTTTAGAAACCGTGTCTAGGAAATGTCTAACTTGTAGGTACATATATAAATCCCCAAAAGGGTCGTGTGTCCTGGAAAAAGTCTCCAAAGGTCAACTGTCCTTTGGCAGCCCACATTTTTGAAATTAGTGTCTTTCTAACCTGGAGGGACAGTATTCAGGAAGTCATTGAGAATTTTGGGATGGTACCAGGGTACCTGACTGCACTTTTCAAAGTGGTGCCTAGGACAGGACATTGTCTGATCTCTTGAGGGAACAAAGTGTTGCAGCCGTAAATCAGGCTAGAAAGAATAAAAGGAGAGTGATACGCTGCTTCACTGGTCTGCTGTGTGTGGGGTATTGTTTTGAATTTCTGTACAATGTAGCCAGTTCCAAACATATGGAATTTAGAGCTGTCCAGTGATAAAATTTCCCGGTGTGGAGGTTACTATCTTATTTTGTTTTCTGTCTTTGGATCCTCAACCAAGCCAGCTGATAATCTGTCTCTTCTCAGGCCATGTAAAATTACTACATATTTTCTCTCTAGTTCTCTTTTTTTTTTTTCTTTTTTTTTTTTATCAAGTAGGTAAGAGTACTGGAAAAACATCCATTTTTATCAAGTAGCATCAGCCCAACAAGACTATTCATTAGTTGAGATTCTGCATCTTTTATTTCTTCATTTTCTCCTTTCCAAACTAAAATGTCCTAGTCTCTGAGGTCATTTTGTATTGAACACTCCCTTCCCCAGTGCCTTACCTTTTTCTTTCTGCTCTCTGTTCCTGTGGAGTTGATGGCCAAAGCTGAGTGCTGGATTCGTGGTGAAGACACACCCTGATTTACAATAATGCCCTTATCAGGTTTCCCATACTACTTTCTGTTCCTAGACATTGTCGCTTTTGTTACTGTTGCTGTGTGGTGAGCAGATGCCCTTCTGTGAACTGCTCACTGTGACCTCTCTCATTAGAGGTTGCCACTAGTTCAGAGCCCATTAGAGAGCAGAAAGATTTAAAATTGTTCTTTCCAATGTGAGCTACGTTATCACCTGCCACCATGCTGCCCATTTCCCTAGTGGTATTGGTATTGCACTCCGCCAACTGCCTAGGCTGGCTTCATATAACTAGCTTTAAAACTATTGCTAAGCTGTGCAGAATGGGACCCTCTAACTCTCCTTGTTTAGCTGGTCCTCCTTTCTCCCAGCTCTCTGGATAACAGGACAACTCAAAGTGCATTGCCCCACATTCTCCTGCACTGTGTACATGGTTCTGGGTACACTCTCCCTTGCTGAGGCAGTGTGGGATAAAAGCCCAGACTTTCCCAGAGTACATTGATGCAAACCCAGGTAGGCAGAGTCATGAGTGCATGGACTAACTTGGTGACATGGTTGTGTTGTGAAAAAAGCTGCTGCATGGACACAACTGAACCATGTATGTTGTAACTGGGTCATTTGCGAGTGTCAGCCTTGTTACACCAACACAGATGTAGTTACGGTGAGGGCACTCAGCTGTTCTCTGTGCACTCAGTTGGTCTCACAGCCCCATTCACTCTTCCATAGGCTTCCTGCTTCTCATCTAATTAAATAACTTTTTATTCTTTTTCATAGCTTGGCTACTTCTTATTCTCCAGCTTGTAACTGACCTGCCAGAGTTTGCCCCAGTCTATTTGCCTCACTTGGCCTGGATTTCTTCCTTCCCCTCTCTTTTTGTATTTGTTTTTGGCCAAAATAAACTCTTGTACCTGTGGATTTTTCCTTCCCCTTTCCCTTCCTTTTATTTGTTCTGGAGGATGGATCCCATCTGTGATTCTAAGTTAGTCTTATGCAGCCTCCATGCTGATTCTGTGGTCTCTAAGTTCCTGTCATTTTCCTTTATCTTCACTCATGCAAAGTTCCCCTGCTTGAATTTCAGTTTCAGACCTGGCTGTAAGTCTGATCGTCTGGAGAGGATGTTGGAGCCAATACACATTATGGTAATTGTTGATGGCTCCACCGTACTTCCTGCACCAACGCCTGAAAATTATTCAGAACTATGTTTAGAGTAGTCTCTGATCTTGTCAGATCCAGAACAAGATGTTTCAAGAAGCAGTCATTCATAGTATCAAGAAATTGTTTCTCCAGACAACATCCTGAAGGGACCATTGATCAGTTGGCATCTAAGTAGCTGAAGTTGCCCCTTATCCCTCTTGTAGTACTTCGTTGCCCCTGTCTGATTTCTCTCCCCATCCTGATCTGCAGGTATGTCCCTCCTACTAGAGGTAATTTCTTTTGACCTAGGGATTTTATCCACCTGGGTTCTGCCTGATGCTCCCCCTCTTGTAGGCATTCTCTTTCAAGGAGACTGTGGAATCCTGTGTGGGCAACACTGTGGTGGCTCCCCAGCCTCTCTGACCAAACCTAACTTTCCTCTGTCATTTATAGTCAGGATTTGCAATATCCCACCGCGTCTTACTTGTGAGCTTCATGCACTGGTACGTATAGTTGTTCTTGTGCCTCTTTTCGTTCACTGCCTTCCTCCCCTGCAGCCTTCCCTGGGAGCAACTGTAGTTACCAACTGATACTGGTGTCTCCAGAGCTCTTTATCTGAAGCTCTTTCCTTTCTACTCTAGTCTCCCTGGAATATGCACGATTACTGTTCAGTCAGTGTGTTTAATCCGCTCAATGCGGCCACAGAGCTGGGGAGTGGGAGGTCCCATGGCATTGCTGGGCCTGCTCCCCTACTTGGCAGTGTAAACCTCTGCAGACATCTGTCAGATGTGGTCATGACTGAGCTCTTATGGGAGGACTCTCAAACATTGGGAGATTTCGTGTCCCTGCTGCTCTCCTGCTGGGACTTGTGTCTATCACCAATTACAGTGTGCAAGGAGTGTTAAAGCTGGGGAATGGTTCCTCTTCCTCAAATAACTTTGCCTGTTGTAGAGAACAGGGGAGTACGATGGCCCCGTTGGAGTTTGTGTGCTGGGAGGGTGGGATGAGATGCAGTGCTTCTGCCACAGGCTCAAATTGCAGTGTCGGAGCAGAGGCCTGGGGGAATTGGCTCCTCATTGCTCTGAGACTCTACGTGTCTCTTCACCCCCTCAGTGGCACCAGAAAGATGTGGGTAGGGATCCCTCATAGCAGATTAGGTGAGGTTGCCCTGGCACATGGTATTCCAGAGGTTTGGGAGTGAGGGCAGAAAGGGAGAGAGCAGCTGCTTTCCTTGGTTCATACCCTGTTGGGTTTTGGAGTAAGCTGTACTTGCTCCCACTTGTGGGACTCTCTGGCTAAATCCCTATAATGGCCTGTGTCTCGATCTCTCCCTAGAGCAAGAAGCTGCTTGCCCTGCTATGATGCCAGGGCAGATTCCAGATCCATCCCTGACAGCTGGTGCTCTGCCTGGGCTTGGCCCCTTGTCAGGACTCCCGGGCACCACCCTGACGGTGGAAGAGCTGAAGTACGCTGACATCCGCAACATTGGGGCTATGATCTCTCCACTGCATTTCTTGGAGGTGAAACTTGGGAAGAGGCCCCAGCCTGTGAAAAGTGAGGTGAGTTCTGGGGGAATTCCCCAAGCCCTGCCTCCCTCTGGGGGGCTGCTCTGAAGGCACTGTAGACTGATGTCTTCTCTATCCATGGATAGTAGCAGGACAAGGTTTCCCCTCTCATGCTACCTCCGCCTCGCCTCTCCTCCCTACCCCCTGGACAATTCCATTCTGATAGGCTGTTCAGTCACTGGTCTGTCTGCCAGGATGGCCCCAAAAGTTTTTAATGAGTTAAGCATGCTGAAAACTGGACTGAGACAACCCCCTTCACCTCCTGTCACTCTGGCCTGGGGTGGGTGCGAACCACTGACCCAGCAGTGAAAGGCTCCGTATCCCAGTCCAGCTCTCCAGATCTCATGATACTCTGGCTCAGAGGAGAGAGGCCTTGGTCACCCACCCACTTTACAACTTGAGGAGCCAGTCAGGAACTGAAGCCATGTGGCCCTTTGTCCATCGAGCTGTTATGGAAATCTCTTCATTTGCTGAGAGAATGAGCCTTTGATCACATGGGGGTTGGCACTCGGGCTCCTTGCTCCCTGGATGGCAAGAGCATAGAGTGGTGGTTAGAGAGAGGCGACACATAACTTTTCTCTACAGTTCCCCCCCCCCCCCCCCGGCTTGTGGCTGGAGCTGTGCCTCTAGCTTGCTGGCTAGGGAGGGGGCATGCGGCAACGTAGAGCTATTGGGAAGAGAAGGCTATTTGAACAATACATGTTCATAGATTCCAAGGGCAGAAGATACCACTGTGATTATCTTGTCAGACCTCCTGTAATACACAGGCCATAGAGCTTCCCAAAGTAATTACTAGAGCAGGCCTTTTAGAAAAACATCCAATCTTGACTCAAAAATGGCCAGTGGAGAATCCACCATGACCCTTGGTAAGTTGTTCCAATGGTTAATTAGTCTGTTAAAAATTTACTCTTGATATGAAAATTTGTCTGGCTTCAGTTTCCAGTTAGTGGATCATGTTATACCTTTTCTCTACTAGACTGAAGAGCCCATTATTAGATATTTGTTCCTCGTGTAGATACTTATGGTCTGTAACCAAGTCACCCCCTTAACCTTCTCTTTATTAAGCTAAATAGAGTAAGCACCTTGAGACCATCACTAAAAGGCATGTTTTCTAATTCTTTAATCATTCTCATGATGCTTCTCTGAACTCTCTCCAATTTATCAACGTCTTTCTTGAATTGTGAACAGCACAACTGGACACAATATTCCAGTTGCACCAGTGCCAAATACAGCAATAAAATAACCTCTCCTACTCCTACTCGATATTCCCTCTGTTTATACATCCAAGGATTGTATTCGCCATTTGGGCCACAGCATCACACTGAGAGCTGATAGTCCGCTGAGTATCCACCATGACCCCCAAGTCTTTTTCAGAGTCATGGCTTCCCAGGATAGTCCCCCACTTAGTAAGTATGGCCTACGTTCTTTGTTCCTAGATGTATACATTTCCATTTAGCTATATTAAAATGGATATTATTTGCTTGAGCCCAGCTTACCAAGCAATTCAGATAGCTCTGTATCAGTGACCTGTTCTATTCATTATTTACCACTCCCCCAATTTTTGTTTCATTTGCACACTTTATCAGTGACTATTTTATGTTTAACATTTTCATCAATGACCTGGAAGTAATTTAATGTAGGGCCAAAACCAAATCTCCGCCGTACCCTACCGGAAACACTCCCATTCTATGATAATTTAATTGCGTTTTACGATTACATTTTGAGACCTATCTGTTAGCGAGATGTTCATCCATGTAAGGTATGCTATATTAATTTTATGCCTCTCATTTTTAATTAAAATGTCATGTGGTACCAAGTGAAATGCCTTACATATGCTCAAAGGTAGTAGTATTGACGTAACATACTTATCAGCCAAACTTGTAATCTCATTTAAAAAAAATCAAGTTAGTTTGACAGGAACTATCTTCCATTAACCTATGTTGATTGGAATTAATTATGTTACTGTCCTTTAATTCTTTATTAATTGAGTCCTGTATCTGCCACTCTGTTGTTTTGTCCAGAATTGATATCAGACTGATAGGCCTGTAATTACCTGGGTCATCTTGTTTATGCTTTTTAAATATTGGCACAACATGAGCTTTCTTCCAGTCTTCTGGAACATCTCCAGTGTTCCAAGACTTATTGATAGTTAACATTAATGGTCCAGAAAGTTCTTCATCCAGCTCTTTTTAAAACTCTTGGATGCAAGTTTAATTGAACCTACTGGTTTTAAAATATCTAACTTTAGTAGCAGCTGTTTAACAGCCTTCTGAGATAACACTTTTTCTACTCCACTGCTATCATATGATATGACTACATACTCTGTTTCTTTTTCAAATACAGAACAAAAATATTTATTGAGCACCGCTGCCTCTTCTGCATTATTATTAATGCTACCGTTTCCATCTAGTAATGGACCAATACCATTGTTAAATTTCTTTTTGTTCCTAATGTACTTTAAAAACTCCTTCTTATTGCCCTTAACTCTGCTACCCATAGATGTCTCCTTGGGTCCCTTTGTTTCCCTTATCAATGTTCTATAATTCTTAGCTTCTGATTTACATTCATTACTATCCACTTCCCCTTTCCTCCATTTGTTATATATTATGCTTTTTTATACCTTGTACCGTGGTGTACAACGTTGAAATTACACTGTGAGCAGTTGAAGTCACTTGCACCAAGATTTCCATATATGGCTACTGATTGTGTTGACCTACCTTAGAGATGATGATTTTTTTTTTTCACAGGTTCTGAGCAATTGCAGCTCCCAGTGACTTCAAATTGGAGCTGCAAGTGCTCAGGGACTGTGAATATCGGGCCCAAGATACAACAAGCTGTGAAATCAGTGAAAGTGTTGGTCTCTTTCAGAAGCACCAAAAGATCAAATAACAGCCCCCCTTGCCATGTTCAGTTGATACTGTATGGGAAGGTTCCAGGCTCACCCAAGGTTTGTGCATTTATTCAAAATTCCATAGGCTGCCAAGCCAGGGGTAGGAGGCGGGGGACAGAGAGAGCTTGGACCAACCGCTTTCAGGCAGTGGTCCTGTACTAAGTCAGTATGGGTGCTGCCAAAGCATCACTCCAGCTGCATGTTTGCAATGCCACTGAAATTTGATCCAGCTGTACAGAGGGGCGACTGGGCCAATTCTGAGTAAATAGGGTTGTGGTCCTGTGCACTGGGTTGCAACCACATTGAAATTTGGTCGAGACGTCCCTTGGTCCAGACACAGAGGGCGATCAGGCCAAATGATGTTAGAGCCTGGTGCACAGAGATTCTGTTGCTGTACATCAGACTGCAGGGGAATCTGCTGTGATATTTGTCTCCTGGTAGCACCAGCTCATGCACTATGTGGGTAAGAGGGGGAAACTCCGTGGCTGAGGGAGTCCTGGGCTCCCTGTGGAAGGAGGGAGGATGAGCGAGAACAGAGCCCCTGTTTTGGGGCGGGAGGGGGGCGATAACCAGAATTTGCCCCCCTCTCAAGGAATATGTGAATTTGTACCACTGGTTTCAAGCACTCCTGCACTGTGATTGGCTGGTGAAAGTTCTGTGCTGCGTGGAGGTGTCAGTATGTAGGGAAGGAGGAGCGGCAACACTGTAGGGTAGGGAGCCTATGTCTTCAGGCCAGTGGGATTAAACATCTCCCCTATTATATCACGTCAGGGTTCAGAACCCCTAACTTGTCACCTACAAATGTCTCTGAGATGGTTAGCTGGTGAAGCTCACCGGACATGGAATTCTCCCTGGAGTGGTGTTGGTGTTTGGGATGTGATCTCTAATCCCTCGGGCATGAGTATCACACAAGCAGTACTTAAGTATGCACAGCAGAGAGGCTTTTTCTCTTCTTTGCCCTCCCAAATATAGATTACTGTTCATGGCTGGACTCCTGATTTTTTCAATTGCTCTGAGGGCTTTTCCTGCTAAAGGATTCCAAATTAATTGTATACACTACATAGAAGGACCAATTCACTCACCATTGCAACATTGTCCCCCTGTGCAGTGTAATACAGCAGCTGATTAACAGCTACACAGCAATATTGTACGCCAGGCCAGGAAATCAGGAAACTTGCAGATCTCCCTGAAATTGCAGGAGGCTTTTAGAGATGCAGGTTGCAGTTAGTTGAAGTTTGTCCAGTGTGCCATGGCTAACTCTTGAGAGGTGCCATGGATGTGTTCTGAAGACTTTTTATTTCCTCTATCAGCTGAGCAGCAGTGAGCTCCAGCATAAACCTAACACATGCAGAAAATGTAACTTGTCCCATGGTTAGCTGCATCAAGCTGCAGCACTCCTTAGAGGCCCGGCAGACCACAATGAACTGCCCTTGCCCCCCAGCACTCTACACATTCTGCCAGTGAAATTCAAGGTCCTGGCCCTTCTCTTTCATGCCTTGCCATCAGCTGTCCTGTCTTTCTGTGTACCCTGATATATCAGCTGTATCTGACAGTCCCTAGGGGAGATCTTACCAGGTGCTCTCAGTGGAGGACCCTGGCCTTGGAATCTGCTGTTGCTGGAGATCAGAGTAAGTCCTTGCCAGGGTCTCCTGGCTGGCAGGCACTGAACACAAATGATACCTGCTGTGGAAAGGAACTAGCTGCCCCTGGGCTTCTGCTCCCCTTTCCCCCAGCTGCTTCCAGTGCCATCGTCCAGTTGGAAAAGCAGGTCCATAGCTTTCCCCATCCCTGGTCATCTGGCTGTTCCTGCTACCGCTGGCTCCCTCAATGGCCTTAGGCACCTCTCTTAACCTCTTTGTGGCTCTGCTTTCTCATCTGTACAGTGGGGGTCATGCTGTACTCCTCTCCCTGGGCCAGTGGGGTTCTGTGAGACTATTCCATTAATGTGACTCACTCAACAGCAGGGAGTCCTCTAGCCAGCTTTTGGATGCTCTTTGCATGTCTTGTTCACCGTGTCTGTGGTGGGAGGGGGCAGAGGAGATGCATTCTGCCCTGCTCTGCTCTAACATAGAGCAAGTACTGAAAGAGTTTCCTTAGAGCTGTA